GGGAAAAGAACCGCAAGGCCGAACACAAAAGGCCCCGAGCGCGCAAGTCCTCCGCCACGAGCGCCGCCGAAAGGGAGGGAACCTGCACATGGAGCTGAATAACGCCCACATCGCGGGGAAGGGCAGGGGCAAACAAGCACTCATTCAGGTACTCAAGTTCACCCCCCAGGAAAACCTGAAGCACCGTGGAAGCTTCCCGCCACTCCAGCGTGCGGGAACGACAGAAGGAATGCCAGGAATCCAGACCAAACAAGGAGCAGTCTGCTAGCCAGGACGACTCCGGAACCTCGTAACGGAGCCAGAAAGGGAACGAAGTCCCAACCTTGAACGTGGACGGATCCATTTCCGAGGCATAATCCGGGTCACGCAGGAGGTAAGCTGCAAAGGCCGCTCGCACCACACCAGGTTGGATGCGATAAGCCGAAAACCTCCGGAAGGACGGAACTGATGTACCCGGGGAACACGGAACCGAACCCGGGGAGGGGCCGACACCAAATCCAACTCGTACGCAGAGGGGGGGAAAGAAAACCCCACTCCTTGTAACAATAAGCCCCGCTCAGTGGGAAGAAAAACCCAGGCGGGGTCCAGCGGGGCCCAAGGCCCCCAAGTCAGCCCCTCCCCAGCCTCGAGGTCCGTCACCACAGGACCCGAGGCCGAGTCCTCTCCCCAAGCCCCGACCCCACAAGACAAGGACGGAGCAGCCGGAAAAGCTGGAGGAAGGGGGGCCCACTGGTCAGACCCTGAAGCTTCGGCCGGGAGACAAGACTCGAATGCCTCTGCCGCCCCCCCGGAAGGGGCAACCCCCGAAGCTGCCCGAGTCTCGAGATCAAGTAACCCCTGCTCCGACCCCGAAACCCTCAGACGCTTCGGGGCCGGAAGCAGGGGCGGGGGACCAGAACGAACAGAAGGGGAAGGACGAGGAGGTGCGGACTGAACCAGGATCGAAGCGACCCCCACCCCCAAGTCCGGGTCTCGAAAAGCAAAGCGGGACAGCCCCGGGGCATCCGGGGAAGCAACCAACCGAGCGCGTTGCAACAGACGAAACCTAGACTGCAACGCACGTGCCGCCTGTACCCGAATAGAATCATCAGAGGATTGGGTAAATTGAGTCACAAGCAAGCAGCAACACTCACAGGACTCAGGGTCGAAAGTATCACCGACCCAAAAGGCAGCGTGGCAGAGGCAAAAACAATGAGGGTCACCCTGAGACAAGGGGACCGAGCAACCCTCAAACTCGCACACAGCGAGTGGGGACTCCGGGGTCACATCCATCGGACCCACGCGCCCCCTAGGGGATTCCCAGGGTCCTGAGCGTTTACTTTAAGAGGACTCGCGCTCAGGTAGTCCCAGGCAGGGTGCTGCAAACCGGCGCCCAAAACTACCAAGCAAACTTCTAAAGCTGAACCCCAGGGACGTGTACACTCACGGGGACCTAGCAGGGGGCGCCACCGAGGAGAACAGTGGAAGGGCAAAAACAAACTGAATAAAATGACAGAACCCCCCACCAGGCAAAAACAAAAAGAAAAACAAAACCCCGCAAGAGGACAGCGAACCCCAAGGAACAGAGCCGGCCGCGATGTCGGGAAATACAAGCTGAGCAGCACCCTGCGCCCCTACCAGTGCAAACTGCCTCTTACCTGCCGGTAACAAGGGAGAACAGAACACCCAAGAGCCCAACAGGCGGCCGAAAAACCGAAAGGTAAAACGGACCAGCAGAGGCAGACCCCGAGGAGCCTGTGGAAGGTGGCCCCAAGCCCCAAGGGCAGTACTTACAGGGCACCTAGGGAAGGCAGCCCTAGGCGCATGCAGCCCGAGTACTGAAGATAACTCCTGGCTCTCGCACCCACAAAACTAACACCACACACAAAGCACAGTGCAGTAGCGACACCAGAGCCAGAGCACACGACCATCGCCTATAGCATCAGCCTCAAGAACTGAGGTGTGGGTAGCCGGCGCGGGGGGTCTGGGGCTCCCCCTTCCCCCTCCCGGGGAGGGGGGAGCTGCGCAGACAGCGGCGCGGCAGTATGTGACGTCACACTAGTTTGCTTGTTTTCGGTTGGGGAGTTCTATCCACTAGTTCGGTTTTAGGTAGCAATTTTAACCAGAATAGGGGTTTGTTTTGGGGCGCTTACCTTTCTGGGTGCCTGTTCCGGTCGATGGCAGACATAGAATGCTTCCAACTAACACGGGGGCTTCTATAGGCCATTGCTCCCCTTGCCTCTCTGAGGGGGCCCGGTTCTGGCCGTGGTCCCCGGTAGGCCTAAGAACTCCATACACATGACTGATGCCAAAGTCTGACATTAGCATATCAGCCTGGGATAGCTCCGGGGAGCCGACGGGGCTCCCCCCAGAAAAAGGGTTGAATGTAAAAAAAAAGGCTCCCTGGAGCTATCACTTTTTTTTGGGGCATCAACTTAAATTTTTTCTGATTAAACTAAATTATATGGAAGAAAATATATTTTCAGAGAGAACTGTATAAACATACAGTGGTACCATCGGAATGCGAGTGTCCCTGTATGCGAGTTTTTCGGAAGACGAGCAGGATTTCCTCGGAAAATATGTCTCGGAAGGCGAGGGTTACCTCGGAACGCGAGTTTGTTGATACGTGTACAGGCCGACTGGTGCGTGGTGGCATGGCGATCGCGCCTCAGTTTACCAGTGTCTCGTGTCCAGTGACTATCCCACCTGAATTCTTCACAAGGATTTACAGTTTTTTATTGGTTTTTTGGCCATTTGAGCATAAAAGTTGTCATTATATATCTTGCCATGGGTCTCAAGAAAGCCATTGGTAAGGTTCAACCTAAGAAAATAGCTGTGAGTAGAGGCAGTAGAGGATGTCCCTTCTTGATTAAGAAAATGTGTGAAGTATGGGAAGAACTACAAAGTTTTGTTGAAAAAACTCACCCAGATAAAGCTGTAGCAGGCCGTTGCATTGACCTTTTAAATGACAATGTGATGTCTTACTACAGACAAGTGTTAAAATGTAGGGAAAAACAAGTGTCATTAGATAAATTCTTAGTAAAACAAGCAAGTCCTAGTTGTATGCAGGCAAAATGTGCCAGAGTGTGCATACCAGTGAAGTCCTCACTGCCTGATGTGAGAATGGAAGGGGACTCCCCTTCCAAACAGTAACTCCTCTCTTCCTCCCACCTCCTCACCATCTTCCATACGCCTACAGCATTCAACAGCAAGGTAAGTAATAACCTGGACATAGTTTTGTAGGTTTATTTAGATGAATAAGGTATAAAAATTTAGTTTGATGTGGGGTTTTTGGGGTAGTCAGGAGACGGATTACTTCATTTCCCTTTATTTCTTATGGGGAAATTAGCTTTGGAATGCGAGTTTTCGGAATACGAGGCGTCTCCAGGAACCAATTAAACTCTTAAACTGAGGTATGCCTGTATATAGTTTTCTCCAAGGAGTGCTGGACCAGGATGGGTATATGGGCCTGCGGGCCGCTCCAAGCAACAGCAACAAGCAACAAAAGCAACAAGCTGCGGGCCAACCAATTGGAGGTAATTGGTTGAAGTTAACTTCAACCACAGGTGGCAGAATGTTTGATCTCATTTATTGTCAAGTAACATAAAATTAACTCTCTTCTTTCATTTTTTTTCAATTTACATGAAATTTACACCTTATATGTAGAGTTGATGTCTCTACAACCTTTATAGAATACTTTATTCCTAAGCTCATTTATTGATTTTATAAATGTTTGCAATCATAAAATATTGGCATATATTTTTTTGGAACTTTGACTACTTGTATTAGTAAAACTTAAAATATTTTGGATAATCCTTTCTAGACAAATCCTTTATTATATGCTAATGTGATAGATGAGTGTCATAGAAATGATTTCATTTGAAAATTGTGATTGTAGAGTATTATTGAAAATGTGTAAAATTCGTTGAAAAACAAAAAAAATTCCCTGCTTTTCTATTTAGGGTGCGATACTGAAATGTAGAACAGTTGCAGCCCTTCTTATTTACAACTAGTAAAAAAAAAGTTTGGCTGATATTAAACAACATTTAAAAACAGCATATGTCCCCTTACTTAAAGAAACAAGCAAACGTTACACTCCGCCGTCACGCCGCTTGTCCGCGAAGCCCTCCCGCTCCCAGGGAGGGGAGTAGTCACGGACCCCCCTGAGCTGGCAACTCGGCAACTCCAGTTCAGAGGCTGAGCATCAAATGTGGAAAAATGCAGACCGGAGGAAAGGAGGGTGCCAGGGAGTCTCTGGGGCTCGCCCAGAAAATACAGTTTCATTATATTCAACGCTGGTTTTCTGAGAGGGAGCCCTTTTGGCTCCCTGGAGCTACCTAACCAAAGGTAAGTAAAAGAGGGACTTACCCGGGAGGCGATTGCAACTTGCTCCTCAACTCGAAGTCGAGACAACTGGCTGCAACCTGCGACCCAAAGCCACACATGGATGACTGTCACCCTAAGACAAGGGCACACAGCAACCTTCAAACTCGCACGAGGCGTGGTGGAACTTAGAAGATGCATCCATCGGTCTAATGAGCACCAATATGGATTTCCAGGGGCCCACAGGCTGACTGCTATGAGAAGCCCAGGCAAACTGCAAAACTGGCTAGGCACAAACTAACAAGGGAAACTTCTAAGGCTGAACCCCTGCGACGTGTACAATCACGGGGGCCTAGAGGAGGGCCACAAAACAACAGAAGTAGACCAATAACCAAACCAGGCAGACCCACTCCAGGCAAGGAAATCCATTGCTCCCTTTGTCTTTCTGAGGGGGCCTGGTTCTGGCTCGTGGTCCCCGGTAGGTTGAACTCCAATTGACTGATGCCCCCTGACTAATATAACAAATATCAGCCTGATAGCTCCAGGGAGCCAAAGGGGCTCCCCTCAGAAAATAAGAATTCTAAAGTAACTAATTACTGAACATTCTTTGGTTCCTATCAAAATAATTACAAGAAATATAAAATGTAACAACTTTAGTCCACATTCCCAAGCCCTTTAATATGTTATAATAAACTTACGATGGATTAAGACTCGTGGGTTGCTTGCTGATTCCTGCATCCTCCTCCCCACTAACAATTCTGGACACAATGCTTTGCATGTTATTGGCAATAGTTTCACATCTCTTCATGAGCTTCTGCACTGTATTCCTTACATGTAAAACTGTCTTTGCTTCATTCAAGAGTTCAGCACTAATGAATTTCTCTGTCTGGAACTTGTAAACCTGAAATATAATAAAAAATATAACTGAGACCGCATAGTTAAAGTACTTGAATAAAATAAGCAAAGAAAACTTCAGGTATAAGAGGGGAGGAGCAACCTTTGACAAGCCACCAGTTTCCTGACTTCATCAAAGTCACTTGAAACGATGGCATTTAGGGAAAACCAGGAAAATTTACAAGTCAAAATATTGCTGGCTTTATAGAATTTGAATACATATTAAAATACAAACAAAAATATAATACCGTAATAGTTTTAACTCCTTTTGTATAACACAGTTAAAGCTAAAAGTAAACCTTGACGAAGAGAAACATATGAATGAAAATAGGAATGAAGCAGAAATCATTTCTTTTTTCTACAAAGGAGATAAGGATAGACAAGCCTGAGAAATGGTACATTAAAGAAAACCAATGAAATCATTAGAGAAATGTGAAGTAAGGAACAGGAGGACAGGGGACATGTTAATGAAGGTTGTATATACTAACACAGATAGTCTGATAAAAAAAAAAAAAACTAGTGTTAAATGTAATGAAACACCATTTTCTGGGTGAGACCCGGAGGCTCCCCGGAGCAATCCAGACTATATCGCGACGGAACCAAGGCCGAAGCGACCAACCCCCCTAAGTCCGGGTCCCAATAAACAAAATGTGGCAGCCTCAGGGCATCCGGTGAAGCAACCAACCTAGAGCGCTGCAGCAACCTAAACCTATCCTGCAACGCGCGAGTCGCCTGCACCCGAATATTATCATCACCAGATTGGGTGAACTGAGTCACATACAGGCAACAAAGCTCGCAGGACTCTGGGTCGAATGTGTCGCCAACCTTACAAGCAGCATGACGCAGGCAAAAACAATGAACATCGCCCTGAGACAAGGGGACAGAGCAACCCTCAAACTCGCACAAAGTGAGAGGAAACTCAGTGGTCACATCCATTGAACTCCAGTGCCACGTGGAGTTTCCCAGGGCCCCTAGACTGGTTCTGCTAAGGGTTATCCCAGACAGGGTACTGCTAACTGGCGCCTAAGCTACCAACCAACACTGCTAAAGCTGAAGATAGCTATCCAGCTGAAGATAGCTGAAGATAGCTATCCAGGCTATATCGCGACTCACATGACTCAGGGTCAAAGGTGTCGTAGACCCAACAGGCAGCATGACAGAGGAAAACAGGTGACTGTCACCCTGAGATAAGGGCACACACAGCAACCTTCGAACCCACAGAAAACAGGCTGGAACTCGGAAGATGCATCCATCGGTTTACCGAACCCCGACAGGGTTTTCCAGGGCCCGCAGGGTAACAACTATGGGAAGTCCGGGCAAGGTGTTGCTAACCGGTTAAACACCCAAATTAACAAGGAGTAGAGGACAACACTGAAACCCCTGCAACGTATACAATCACGGGGGGCCTAGCAGAGGGCTACCAAAACAGTATCAGGGAAGCGATTGTCCCTCCAGGCAAACAAAAAACAAAAGAAAAGAAAAACCCAGCAAAAGTACACTGTCCCTAGAGGCAACAGGAACCTGTCGCTGCATAGGTGGCAGGTCCCACAACACCTTGACACCCTAACCAGTACTGAAGAGGTACTCCTGGCCACCACACAACACAAAAATACAGCAGAGAATGCCACACAGGCAAACGCCGCCCAGGAATTTGAGGCCAGAGAAGCGTCTGTCCCGGTTGACATTAGCTTACGAACTGGAGTGCTTTGCAGCCGTGCGGTGAGGTCCTCCCCTCACCCTCTTGAGGAGGGGAGGACTGCGCAAACGAGTGGCGTGGCAGTAGAGTGACATTTGCTTGTTTACTTGGGATTGAAAGGAGTTCTAACTCTGTTCGTTTTTTTGTTTTTAGTTTCTTACCATGTGGGGGTTTGTTTTGTTATGCCTACCTTTCTGGGTAGGCATAACCCCAGTCAATGACAGATAAGGAAAAACCCCAACCACAGGGGGGATTTTCCAGGGCCATTGCTCCCTGAAACCTCTCTGAAGGGGGCCACAATCTGGCTCGTGGTCTCTGGTAGATCCAAACTCCATAGCTAATGTCCTGGTCTAATATAAAAACACATTAGCCCGATAAGCTCCAGGGAGCCGTAGGGGCTCCCCTCAGAAATAATGGTTTCTGAAATCCTGAACCGAAGGAGTCACTGTTAAGCGAGCAGAATTACGAAAGGAAGGCAGCCTTCCGGACAGAGGGAGCATATCAACACCAAGATGAAGAAGTGGCCATGGAAAGGGTGTGCGTTCCGGCAACTGGCTCCAAGAATAACCTACCCCCGACCAACAGCAGGCAACACCATGGCTCGACCAAACCACTGTGGGAGGAGAGAACGACTCCCATACTTCTATTGCCTTGATAGGGTAGATTAAGATTTTGGTATTGAAACTAATTAAATTAATTTATATTAAACTTTCCATCTAGTGTGTCCATTCGTTCCTGCTTATGCATTCATAGACAGTTGCTAGGCCCAAGTATCCTGTGGGCATCTCCCCAAGTTGTTATGATTATCACCATGTTAAATTATCTTCCTCCCACCCGTAATTATCAAAAGTGCTTTAGAATTACTTGGATGCTAGTGAATAATGGGAGCCGATTGTGTTCTCTTCCCCCTGTGCCGGTGTAGATACTTCTTGAGGTAATCTCGAGATGATTTCAGGGCTTAGCGTCCCCGCAGCCCAGTCCTCAACCAGGCCTCCTGTTTGTTACATACACCCAGGAAGCAACCCACAGCAGCTGTCTAACTCCCAGGTACCTATTTACTGCTAGGTGACCAAGAGCATTAGGGTGAAAGAAATTCTGCCCATTTTGTTCCCGCCTCCACCGGGGGTCGAACCCGGAACCTCAGGACTATGAATCCGAAGTGTTGTCCACTCAGCTGTCAGGCTCCTTAATACTCTGGGATAGGTGACAGTTGGTGACTGTCCAGGTACGGTGCTCACCACAACCACCTAGAGTAATTATCATCTTTTACTCTCCCATGACCAGTACCCTTCGCCGTCGGTCACTGTAAAGTATCATTTTCATCAATGGCGAAGGTGGTGGCAGCATTATGTAAACTTAAATTAACTTTAAGTTTGTCATAATTTATAACGACTCACTTGGTGGGGTATCAGTGGTGATAGCCAGGTGGGTTGTGTTATAAATGGTGAAATAACTAAAGTAGTGTTATAAATAAACAGAAGGAAAGTAAGAGTGTTATACCAAGTGCCCCAATCACAACGAAGCTCCAGGAGACTCAAGAACCCAAGTGCGAGCTGGCAAGAAGGACATCTGCAATTAACACAGCCAACAACTGAGAAACTTGAGCATGCAGCTGCATGAGACCAACATCTTGTGAGGTGGTGGATTGTCACCTGCTCTCTGTACAGGTGAGGGGATTGGTTTTAGCTCTGGTTCGCAAGACTCCTAATAGAACAAGTCATGGCTGATGTGACTTTTAGCATGAAGCCATCTCAGGAAGATAGTTTCAGGAAGCCACAAGGGACTCCCTCCACTGAAATATTAGGAAATTCACTTTTACAAATAGTGTGGTAGACCACTGGAATAAGTTATGTGAATAGGTGATGGAGGCAAGACTGCCAGTAGTTTCAAAGTGTCATGTGACAAAGAGAACTGGGAGGATTGAACACCATGCACATAACTCTCCTCTTGTAACCTCACTAGGTACTGTACATGGTAATTACCCAACAAGTTTTCTCTTTTACTGGCATCTTTATGTGTGCCTCCATACATGGCTCTGACCATCTTTTATATACAAGCTTATTCCTGGCAAAGCCTCTAGTGCAAAGCAACCCGCTTCTTTGCTGATGTTCAATCTGGGGCCAAACTAAACATCATTCAGGCATTGTGTGCATCAATATGCTATACTTGGTCAGAAGTTGTACGAGCATATTGAGCAATTGTATGTGCTGTGTAAGGTGGTCCAAGGTGGCTCCCTGTTGCTAGCCACTTATATCCTGGTGTGTATATCTGATATATATCCTTGTCTCTGTCTGATACAAGGATCAGACAGTACAGAAAAGTACTGGAACAACTGTATGAGCAATTGTAGTTAAAGGTTTCCTAACTGCTTTCCAGTTACTACCTTGTACATGTTATATGCATTCAAGAGTGAAACAACAACCAAGTGTCAAGAACAGAGTTTTATATACCATTTTGTTTATTTACATAAACTTTCCCAAGCAACAAGTTGTATATCTAAAGTACCAACCAAATGCATGCTCTTTGCATCATTAAACATTGTTGTATGATGCAAAGGGTTATATACAACAGGGTTATATACAACAGGGTTTATTGTTTACCCTATCTTGTGTTCAATTTTCCCAGTGTTTATCAGTTGTCCACAATTTTATCATAAGCCTTGTTAAGTAATACAGCCATATCTTTACTGTTATGTTCAAAGAAAGAGACAAAACAAAAACTCACAATATCTGTCCAGTCTTTGAAGGGTCGGATTTGTGCGATGACTTCTGCCTTCTTTCTGGAACAGCCACCAATGGCAGCGAGTTCACCCACAGAAGCTTCGTTAAAGAACTTTAGTACCAAATGACGATCTCCAGTTTTTTTCGGGTCCTCTTCACCACCAGATTCATCATCCTCACTGAAAAACAAAGTCTGTTATTAAATGATATTTGAAAAGAAGAGGAAGAAAAATAAGAAACAGCATTGAATGCAATGAAATGTCTGTGTAAGGTGGTCCAACGTGGCTCTCTGTTGCTAGCCACTTGTATCCTAGTTTGTATGTCTGATATGTATCCTTGTCTCTGTCTGATACGAGGATCAGACAGTACAGAAAAGTACTGGAACAAGTATAGAACCTTGGGGAAATGAGCTTTACACAGTGGATGATTCAGATTTTACTTTGTTGCCTATTACACTCCAGGTTCTGTTTGTTAGGAAGCTAAAGATCCATCTCCCTACCTTGCCAGTAATTCCATTTGTGTGCAATTTGTGTGGAATAACACCATGGTCACACATGTCGAAGGCTTTCACAAAATTTGCGTATATTACATCAGCATTTTGTTTTGTCTTCCATGTCATAGTAATCTAGTAATTGAGAGGGGTACTAGTGCCTCTCCCAAAACAAACCCCAGAATAGGGGTTTGTTTTGGGATGCTTACCTTTCTGGGTGCCTGACCAGGTCGATGGCAGACATAGAATGCTTCCAACCACATCGGGGTTTCTATAGGCCATTGCTTCTCGTGCCTCTCTGAGAGGGGGCCAGGTTCTGGCTCGTGGTCCCCGGTAGGCTTAAAGAACTCCATACACATGACTGAAGCCAAAGTCTGACATTAGCAATATCAGCCTAGATAGCTCCGGGGAGCTGACGGAGCTCCCCCCAGAAAATGGCATTTCATTACATTCAACGCTGGTTTTTTTGTTTAGCAGTGGCTCCCTGATAAGTTGGAAAGCCATGATACATGGCAGAGTTGAAAGCTTCTGAGCCATCTATTAGTGTATGAACAATACACTAATGAATTGACTATACACCATACACAGCACCACTTGAGTGGTGCTGTGTATGGTCACTGGGCAAACTAGTTCCATCTTTATTGCACATTTTTATTCAGACTGCCTGACTCACTAGTTATCCAAACAACCCCCAATTATATAACACGTCTTTTCGGATAACAGGCGTTTGTAAAGCACGTGGCTGACTGTATTCCATTTTTGTAAGTTGTTCTTTAAACTGTTGAGAATTTACATCTGGTGATTTATATACAATTCTCCCTTATGTTAAGACTAAATACATTTCAAATCACATATAAAAAGATAATTCAAACAGTCTGAAGAAGCCTATTACTTAATATTAATATATAACAGAAAAATAATATCTTCAAAATCAAAATGGAAAATAAAACCCTTCATAAACTCAAGACTAACCTGTCATATACTTTAGATCCTCCAAAATGATAGTCGTCCTCATCCTCCTCCATGTCCTGATCGTCATTTCTTGAAACTGCCTTACCTGGACGACAAACAAGAAAATTTAATTATGTACTAAGAAAATGAAAACTACTGCGTATCATGAGAGCAAGGTAGACAGTCGTGAGACGGAGGCCAACACTTCCTGATCATGCATGGTGAGAGCTGGAGACAAAGCCCCAGCCAAGGTCTGACACAACTGTAAACAACTCGAGCAATGCAGAACCACCTCCTCTAGCACAAATGAATGAACCCAAATAACCCTTTAGAGGAAAATAACATAATATCCACTTGAGGTTAAACATGGCCCACAGCAAGTAGATCTAAGCCTAAGGATGTGGGCTTGCCTAAAAAACAGCACAGTTGAGGTGAAACTAAAACCCCCAAGCAGGTACCCAAATATGCAAATGCTGTTGATGATTTCAAGGAGTAATGTTCCAACAGACCAGTCTCTGACAAGGCCTCCTGGTTCTTGGTGTGATCAACCAGGCTGTTTGATGTGGCTGCTCACACCCTGACGTAACAGTCACAGCCTAGTTGATCAGGAAGAGACTGTTACAATATCTGTATACACACAAACCCCAGGAGCAGTTAACACAAGGCAATGGATAAAGTGCAAACACCATTACAGGTAATGTAGATGAAAACCAGCGTTGAATGTAATGAAATGCCATTTTCTAGGGGAGCCCTGGAGGCTCCTTGAAGCTATCCAAACTGACATGTGCAATCTTAGTGTGGGGTCATCAGTCACAGGAGTTCTTTATGCCTTTTGGAGACCAAAAGCCAGAACCTGGTCCAAGAGCAGTGCTCATAGCTATGAGCAGTGCTCATTACGCCAGTAATGGCCTATGAGTACTTTACATTTAGAGTATGTCATACTTGCCATCGACCAGGAAGGGCACCCAGAAAGATAGGCAAAACAATACAAACCTCCAGCTGGTAAAAGTTTACACCTACATCCAAACAGAGCAAAATAATTGACGTTGACTGTCCACTCCATGGAAGAGGAATGAAGCGCAGTATGTCAGGATGTTTGACACATCTTAAATGTGAACGGCACGGAAAGCTAAAACAAGAACTCAGCAGAAGAGCTATTCAAAACAACCAGCCCCAAAGCCACAGACCGAAGAGACACCCCCCTGGTTGAGTCAATGAACAACGGGGAAGCAGTCCGAATGGAGCCGGATCACTGAGCTCCAAGAAAGCTGGATCTGTCACAGCGTCTGCCACACAGCCTAACATAAGGGTCATAACTGGCCAACCTCTCACAGTGTTCAAGAGAGAACTTGACAAACACCTCCAAATTATACCTGATCAACCAGACTGTGACACATACGTCAGGCTGCAAGCAGCCGTGTCCAACAGCCTGTTTGACCAGTCCAGCAACCAGGAGGCCTGGTCAACGACCGGGCCGCAGAGTCGCTAAGCCCCGGAATCACCTCAAGGAAACCTCAAGGTAACCAGCCCCAAACTCCTGCACCATGCTGTGAGTTTGAAGGAAGGACGGCATCCAACACCCCTGGCCAGCTGGTGAGCACTGGTCACAAAGCTCCAACCGAGAGACAAGGTGTCTGTGAACACAATGAGTGATTGGGGAGAGGAAGGTGCCATGGCACCGAACCCCAAATACCCTGAATAGGAAGCAGGATATGCAGCAACCGACACAAGGACAACGGGGAATGAACCAGCAAACGCAAAAGTGGCAAAAGAGGCCACTTCGAAGATACCAGAACTGCCTCCGAAGCCAAACCTTGCCCAGCGGGGATAAACCAGTAGGGCAAGGTGCAGGCTCCAGCACAGCTGCTTGAGTGACCTGGGTCCCCTTCAACAGATGAAGGCAGGACCACAACCGGAGCAAAGCCGCAAGAGGGAGAGAAATGGATGCAGTCAAAGAATCCCATACTAGGCCCAGCCAAGTCTGAACCCGGGACGAAATCAACTGGGACTTCCGCCAATTTACCAGGAACCCGAACCCGGCAAGCTTGGAAAGAACCAGATCTCCAGCTAGCAGACAAGCAGAGTGGCTGGGAGCCCACACCACCCAATTGTCGAGGCAGGCTACCAGCCAGGAAGACACTGGAACCTCGGAAACGCATCTGATCAGTGTAAGAGGAATCAAACTCAAACAAAATCGGATCTAACACAGAGGCATAAACCAAGTCTCTCAGGAGGTAGTGCCAAAGGCCTCCCAAACCTTCACAGGGGAAAGCCAAGAGGAAGAAAAACTCCGAAAAGGATACCGAGCGCAGGAGGCTTGGGAGCTGGACAAGCAAACAGAGCAGCGTCGCTAGGCACAAAATCGGTGCCCATAATCGGTAGCACAGGCACTCAGTATAGTGTGGAGGAAGAGCTTGGACACGGGGGAGATACCAGATGCACTTAAAGTAGCAGACATAGCCCCTCTACACAAGGGAGGGAGCAAACCATTGGCAAAAAATTATAGACCAGTTGCACTAACATCGCACATCATAAAAGTATTTGAGAGAGTGATTAGGAGTCCGGTCACCAATTTCATGGAGACCAATGACCTTCACAACCCAGGCCAACATGGATTTCGAGCGGGAAGATCGTGCCTCTCACAGCTACTTGAGCACTACGACAAAGTCACTGAGGCATTAGAAGAAAAACAGAATGCTGATGTGATATACACGGACTTCGCAAAGGCTTTCGATAAATGTGACCATGGCGTGATAGCACACAAAATGAAGTCAATGGGAATAACCGGTAAAGTAGGACGCTGGATACTCAGTTTTCTGTCAAACAGGACTCAGCGAGTAACGGTCAAACATATAAAATCTAGTCCAAGTGCAGCGAAGAGCTCTGTACCTCAGGGTACAGTCCTTGCACCGCTGCTTTTCCTTATTCTCATATCAGATATAGACAAAAATACAAGTCACAGCTTCGTATCATCCTTTGCAGATGACACAAAAATCAGTATGAAAATTACCTCGGCTGAGGACATTGAAAAACTTCAAGCTGATATTAATAAAGTTTTCGACTGGGCATCAGAAAATAACATGATGTTTAACAGTGATAAATTCCAGGTACTCAGGTACGGTAAAAATGAGGACCTTAAACATAATACAGAGTACAAAACACAATCAAATGTACCCATAGTAGGAAAACAGCATGTAAAGGATTTGGGAATAATAATGTCTGACGACCTAACGTTTAAGGAGCATAACCAAGCAAATATTGCGACAGCCAGAAAAATGATAGGATGGATTACGAGAACTTTCAAATCCAGGGATCCCATCACAATGGTTGTACTCTTCAAGTCACTTGTGTTGTCCCGTCTTGAGTACTGCTCAGTACTCACTTCCCCCTTCAAAGCAGGAGAGATTGCTGAAATAGAGGGAATACAGAGAACATATACGGCATGCATAGACGCAATAAAGCACCTAAATTATTGGGATCGTTTCAAAGCCCTCCAAATGTACTCACTAGAAAGAAGACGAGAGACATATCAAATAATATACACATAATATTAATATACACATAATAATATATGGAAGATACTGGAGGGCCAAGTACCAAATCTACACAGTAAAATAACAACGTACTGGAGTGAACGATATGGAAGAAAATGTAGAATAGAACCAGTGAAGAGCAGAGGTGCCATAGGCACAATCAGAGAACACTGTATAAACATCAGAGGTCCGCGGTTGTTGAACGTCCTCCCAGCAAGCATAAGAAATATTGCCGGAACAACCGTAGACATTTTCAAGAGGAAACTAGATTTATTCCTCCAAGGAGTGCCGGACCAACCGGGCTGTGGTGGGTATGTGGGCCTGCGGGCCGCTCCAAGCAACAGCCTGGTGGACCAAACTCTCACAAGTCAAGCCTGGCCTCGGGCCGGGCTTGGGGAGTAGAACAACTCCCAGAACCCTATCAACCAGGTATCAACCAGGTATAATAAAATACTGAAAACAAGCCAATGACCACCCCTATAATTCCTCAGGGAAATGGACAGGGTAGAATAGATGAATGAAGCAATACAATTGGAACGCCCATAATGGGACACAGGTGGAAACCCGAGTACCCAAAGGAGCCATAGAGACATGAAAAAGAACATGTCCAGAGGCAGTAGTAAGGAAAGGGTAATGCAGGAGGCAATGAGGAAGTGGAGGCTGGAAACACAGGAGCTCAACAAGCTCAGGAATGTGTACACCAGGAGAATTATGAGCGAGAGGCGGGCCCATAGAGCCGAAGCGCAACCCCGCAAGCACAACTAGAAGAGCACAACAAGGCAAGTACAAAAACTTACCAAAACCACAGACAACACATCGGCAGGGGATGGTGGGGGAGTCGGCGCAACCGAGTAGCCCGCGGTATTGATGATGTGTTGCTTGTTGTCTAGTTTTCTTGGGGGGGGGGGGAGGAGGTCCTAGCCTCTGTTTGATCTCAGGTTGGGGTCTTCTACCAGGAGGGGTCTGTTTTGGGGCACCTACCTTTCTGGGTGTCCAGCCCCAGACAATGGCAGACATGAATATACTCTCATACAAAGGAGTTTCATAGGCCATTGCTCCCTGCGCCTCTCTGAGGGGACCAGGTTCTGATTCGTGGAGCCCCGGTGGGCACGAACGCCATATGACTGAAGCCCCAGACCAATAGCTAATATCAGTCTGATTGCTCCAGGAAGGCAACGGGGCTCCACACAGAAAACCTGAGTTGAATGTAATGAAACTCCAATTTCTGGCTAGAGCCTCTGAGGCTCCCTGGCTCCAGGGGGCTGACGGGACTTCCCACAGAATAGTGGTTATATCCATTTTATTTCCCCAGTACAAAACATCCAAGCAAAAGATAGAGACATCTGACCAAAGGGTGAATAAATCATGCAGATAAAAACACTAATACTAATACAGAGAGGGAAGGAAGGGACAAAAAATCCCTTCCCCTGCAGCAACAACCCCTGCCCACAAGGTGCAGGGGCCCAAGCACTCCAAGCGGACTCCCCGCCCCCTCCCCGAGCCCTGGGAACTCCCAACACAGGCCCCAGGGCAGAACCCTCTTCCATGCCCACCACCCTTTTAGAAAAGGAATTGTCCAGGGATAAAGCTTCCAAGAAGGATGTCTGCTGGGTTGACCCAGAAGCTGCGGCGGGAAAATCAGGCTCAAACAACAACTCTACCGAATCGGAAGGGGCAGCCCCAAAAGCCACCCAAGCCTCATCCCAAGCTAAACCCCTCCCCCAACTACGAAATCCTCAGACGTTCGAGAGCCGAAAGCAGAGGGAAGGGGGAAAGGAGCAGGGCAAACCATGTCCATCTGGGAAGGAAGCAGGGCAGGAACCAAGGTCAAAGCGACCAACGTTCTTAAATCCTGCTTCCTAAGACCCAAGCAGGGCAGCCCCGGGGACCTCAAACCGGGCAACCAACCTGGCTCATTGCAGTAAGGCAAATCGAGCATGCAATGCAGCCACTGCCTGATCCGTGAGTTCAAAAGACAAGGAATGAGTAAAATGTAAAATGGAGTTCAAGGCCTGCAAGATTCAGGGTCAGTGGTGCCCCCGACCCAACAGGCAGCATGACGGAAGCAGTACGGATGAGCGTTTCCCTGAGGCAGGGGCAACAAACAACCTTAGACTACGTACAAGCCCGAACAACCTTAAACTTCGTACAAGGCGAGAGCAAGCTCGGAAGAAGTAGCCATTGTATAACCGAGCCCACAGGGGGTTTCCAGGGCCCATAGGATGAATTAGCACTAAGGGAATCCCAGGCACTGGGACAAGCTAAGCCAGTAAAACCCTGTCAGGTAGCAGGCAAACTGACCACCGGTACAGTTTGAGACAGAGGAAACTAGATTTATTCCTCCAAGGAGTGCCGGACCAACCGGGCTGTGGTGGGTATGTGGGCCTGCGGGCCGCTCCAAGCAACAGCCTGGTGGACCAAACTCTCACAAGTCAAGCCTGGCCTCGGGCCGGGCTTGGGGAGTAGAAGAACTCCCAGAACCCCATCAACCAGGTATCAACCAGGTTTGCCACTGCTTCGTGCACCTCATTAGAGGGGGGGCAGAGTTCTAGCTCTCGGTCTCCAGTAGGTTTAAAATAGCTCTGCAACTGGTGGCACCTAGTAGTTTGGCACTATATCAGCATTATAGCTTCAAGAAGCCACCAGGGGCTCCCACCAGAAATGTTGATATTTATTTATAACATGTATACTGTATAGTGTAATAATAGCAACAACACTGTTTTATTAACACTTTCGCGCACCCCGCCCGCCACCCCTCAACTGTGCGATATGGGACCCAGGGTGTCACGGGAGCGCGCGTAAATTCTGAAAAGTGTATACTCTCTTCAACTTTGTCACCTTAATTCTCGTCCTTCGAGATTAAATTTTGTATCATTGTGTTCGCAATAGAATTCTCTACAGCACTAAATGCATATAAACTCCAAAAGCCCGGCTGATTACCCGCAGCAAACAGAGAAAGTGCGAACGAGTTTTCCAGGCGCGCGCAAACGCGATAAAATGTTTTCACTATTTTCAATCCGGTCACCTCAATTTTCGTCCTAGGTCTTTCATTTTGGTCTCAATGGGTTCGCAATAGAATTCTCTATAGGAACATTAGCATATAAAATAAAAAATATGGTCACGCTCCAACCGCCGACGAGTTGAAGACGGGCCACGTGTTAGCCGCAAGTGAGTGCTCAGATGCCTTCCAGCTACACTCCCAATTCCCGCCCTTTTCAAGCCTTTCTTTCGCAATTTTCTTCCTGGAAGGGCCTTGTTCATGATCACTATCCATCGTGGAGTAAGCGTAATAGTTTCTAAAGCCGCAGTAAGAAATATAGCCACGGAAAATAGCCGAAATGTTCACACGTTTGAGATGCGAGGGGAGGCAACATTGGTCACAACAGTGGAGCGAAAACAATGGGCCCACAGCGTGTGCCAAGCCGCCTGAGGGCCACGAGGCTCAACAAAGAAAATGGGAAGACATCGGCGCGCATTTTAAAACCAGTCCCCAAAAAATCGGATAAAAACCTGATTTTTGGCGATTATTTAAAGTGGATGACGCAATGCTGCGTCATCCCCGGCATTACCGACAGTAAACGGATGACGCAATGCTGCGTCATGCCCGGGCGAAAGTGTTAATCTAAGAATATTATATACGTGTCACTAGATTTGAACACCATATTTTTAAGCATAGTGATGTTACATATTTAACTACACAAACTCCTCAAGTTACACACTGTTGAATAATATTACTGCAAAAACTAGATAAAAACCATTCGAAAACATTAAAATAATTATGTGAAAACATCTTTGCAGCAACTCCCGCCACACTACTGCTGGTGTGTACTCTGTCAACACCAAATACTGCCAGACGTCCTTGCACCATCATGGCAAAACTATGTCACATGCAATATTTTGTGTTTATATTCCCGTCAGTGAATATCAAGGCTTGATACCATTTATCAATAGTGTACTGTATTAGAATGAAAGAAAGTTTGGGAGGATTATTTCTTTTCTGTGCAGCAATAAACTAAAGTGCAGTGCTTAATGTATATATTCAGCAAAAGTTCTTTACAATGTTACCTTTCCATGCTTGCTTTCGGGCTTTCAACTTCTCTTTCATTGCTGTTCTTGCCATTGATGCCAATTCTTTCTCAGCCACTTTCTGCTTCTTCTTTTCCACTCTCTGCTCAGCTAATTCCCTTTTCTTAGCCATCTCTTCACCCATTTTTTTAAGTTTGTGCTTGTCTTTGTTTTTCCTATTAGTTTTTTCTAACTGTTCCATTGTAAGTTTAGCATCCCAATCATTTTGTCTATATATATCCAAGACATCCTGAAAAAAAAGAAATAATATAAATACAAGGAAATTAACCTAAATATACAAAGCTTTAATTTTTTTAATATATAGGAAGAGAGATACTACCTCAGGCTGGAAGAAGAGGCCCCATAGCCTTAGAGAAAAGCACACATAATACTATAGAGGGGATTATTGGGCCCTTCCAATGCATTGTGTTCTATGAAAACACAATTGTAAGTCATTTCTATCTGCAACTCCTGGAAAATATCCTAGAAACATTTTTTTTATCAAATTTATATAAAATACACAATTACACTATATAAGGGGGTGGTAGGAGAAGATAATATGTGCATGTGGAAGATCGACAAGGCTCCTCTGGGTGCTGAATATCCTCTGTAGGCAGAGTAAACTACTTTGCCTCCACCCAAAGCTCAACCCCCACAAGCACAACTAGGTTTTTTTTTTATTTATTTTTTTTTTTATTATTTTTTTTTTATTATTTTCTACCACAGACGTGGCCACACATTTACAATGCTAACCAGCATATATACATTTTCTTCTGTCCTCCATGGACAGGGTTAGAGAAGTGTTAAACATACAGTTCAAGGGTTTATTGAACACTGATCCACAGAAGGTGATTCGGTGCTTTTAAAATGCTAAGCTAACCTACATACGTAAATACATAGATACACAGATTTACGTATGCCCTACATAAAGTATTAGATGTGTCTTTTACATAGTGTCATTAATGTACATTCACAAAGGTGAAATGTAATTCTGATCAGCTTCCATATATGCTTTATACCCATACATATACATACACACACACACATACACATACATATATACACACACATGCATTCACATACATTTGTCTCATTTACCCTGACAGGGTGAGGTAGCTGATAAAGAAACTAGTGTGCAATTAAGCACTTAATCACTGAAGGTGATGAAGGTGCTTTTACAAGCTCAGGTTATATAGTTACATCATATATATACATTGTATGATTGATATATTACATGGTCAATTTTGGATACAAGTCCAATATATCATCAAGTGTTCCAGTATTCATATAGTAACTACAGAGTTCAGCATACCTTAGCCCAGGAGGGCGAAAGTCAGTCAGTATGGGACATTCTACAATATAATGTTCAAGAGAGTGCATGTTTTCTCTTTCACAAAGTTGACACATTGTGTACTCGACATTTGGGTTTTGAGAAAGCTGCCAGATACGTCTATATCCCAGGCGTATTCTGGCCACTATAACATCACATTGCCGGGTTCTTGTTCTATTAGTCCCATATGTGAATGTCTCCTCACGATATCTATCATAATATTTAATGCTACAACTTTCAGGTCTTTGAGAATTTGTTAGGTCGGTGAGATTTTCATTAGATATTTGTTTAAGTATTCTCTTTGTCACTGCTAATGAAACACCCATATCAATTTCTACCACTGGTTTTCTGCAGGCTGACTTAGCAAACATATCAACAGTGTCATGCCTTGAGATGCCAACATGTGATGGTATCCATAGGAATTTAATCTCAAATCTGTTTTCTTTGGCAGCTAAAACATTCATTCGAATATCACTGACTATTTTCTGGGTGTCACTACTATGTGCGTTCAATGCCAGGAGTGCACTCTGCGAGTCACAGTATATACGTCCACTGCCTTTGTCTTTTAAAAATTCAGTGGCAAGGTATATGCCTGCAAGTTCGGTTTGAGTTGTACTTGCCCAGTCATTGACGCGCTTCATTGCTGTATGTACGAGAGAAGATTGTTCAAATATGTTACATGCACATCCGGTACATCGTCCACCTTCTTCTACAGAGCCGTCGGTATAGCACTGATAAACATCGTTACCCATACTCTGAGTACTTTCAGTGATGCTTTTCAGTGTTAACTGTTTTAATAATGTAGTGTGCACACTATCTTTCTTGGGCGCATTTACAAAATCAACTGATAGATCCCAGTTATCCCATGGAGTAATTGGCTGATTAATCATTAGTCGAGTTGGGTACATATTTAATATTTTGATGGAGTTGGCTACCTTGTAGAACCAATATACATAATCAGATTTCGTTCTTCTTCTATAGACCTCAGGTGAGTGTAGCATATTAGAAAGTTTAGCTTGAAACTTCATGTGTTGTCTAGATCTACTCAATGCCTTCACACCGAAAACTGTGCTAATAGACAAGATTCTCTCACTTATGGTAGGTAATTTTAACTCTGCTCTCATGTTAACTATTCTCGTGGACTTTGGAGCCCCAAGGATGAGACGCATAGCTTCATTTTGCAAGGTTTCAAGAGATTTCAGCTCGTTGTCAGTATACAGTGTAAGATGTAGAGCATTGTAGTCAATCACAGAGCGTATAAATGATACATAAAACATTCTAGCAAGTCTCACGTTAAGCCCATGATTGACACCAACAAGGACCCGCAAGGGCTTTAATCTCTCCCAAAGTCTCCTCTTGAGAGAAGAAAGGTACCCAGGGTCGTTAGTGGGGACACCAAGGTATCTGTAAGACTCGCAGTTCTCAAGTGCTCGCCCATCTACTAGGTGAATACCCGAGTGCTTGGGGATTATATGTAAAACTTGAACTGGCTTCAGTAGAGGTCTCCAGACTTCCTGTGATTTCAGTAGAAATCCGGTTGTTTGACTTTACCACTGAACCATCACTGACTTGCTAATGAGGCTGACAGTGCTTGGTCACAGGTTCACATCACCTCAGAGCCCCAGTGGATTTTCTCATTGATATATATATATATCATGTTAGTGTGATTTTCTGTGAATAATAATAATGCACAGAGAGTAATCACACTAATGTGATGTATCAATGAAAAAATTCGTAGGAGCCGTGATGAGGATTCGAACCTATGTGATGAGTATTCCCCACAGTATGGAGTTCGTTAGAACTCCAGGTTGCAATCCTTTTCCATGTCATGGCCTGGTTGTCTGGAGTGTGTGCGTAGGAATACCCACCGCATAGGTTTGAATCCTCATCATGGCTCCTACAGATTTTCTCATTGATACATCACGTTAAGTGTGATTACTCTCTGTGCACCGAGAGAAGCATCAGAAGTAGAACATCCTTAGATGAAAGAGCCAGAGTGCAAGAGGAGATTGTGTGAAAATCCTGGTCCAGCTTCAGTGAAAGCCTCAGAAATCCCTCATGTGTTCAGTGGAACTCCAGAATGCAATCCATTTCCATGTCTTGGCTGCCTTATCTGGGGCATGTGCGTGGGAATATCCACCGCATGGCTTCAATTTCTCATCCGATTTTCTCAATAATAATAATGAGAATAATAATGATACACAAGCACAAGGAAATCACATTAACGTGATACAACAATGAGAAATTCATTCAAGCCGTGCAAAGGATTCAAACCAGCAACCTGGATTCTCCCAAGCATGTGTCTTAACCACCGTGCTGCGCCGAGTTTATTGTGAAATTCCCCGTGCGCATGAAATAAAGTGCTCCCAAAAAATTATTTTTTCTTCGAAAAATGATAAATTCCCTTCCTAGAACAAGTCTATGTAAAAATAAATACCAAATTCCACTTACTTTGGCTGTGGGGACATGGACAAGGTGCGCTGTGACGTCATCAGGGGCTGGTTGCCCGTGCGTGACACGCCCAGACACAGTTGCGCGGACCATTCAAGCACCGGGTATTGCCACAAATATATTTTCAATTATTTGTTCTATGTATTTCCAATGCTGTTTTATTTGTTTCTTTATCATATATGATGCATATTTGTGTCCTTTACAATATGTATACAGTAGAACGTTCATAATGCTCCATGGAACTGTGATACATGTGTCAGTAATGTGTCCACAATAAATGTTTATTGTAGCAATATTACTTGTTAAAAATTCACTAAACTTACAATATGTACAGATTCATACACTATTTACACAGTAACACACTGTATTACACACTCAGTACTTTGGAAGTGAGTAATAATCAACGAAGTAGTCCATAGTAGACAGCGCGACTTCACTCTCGTTGCACCAGGTACAGATAGATTTTTGTTTCCTGTTTCTTCGCTCTGTGTGCTGGCAAATAATGCACTCATGTACACCCTTGGCATTAGTACCTGTAGGTGGTATGTATCCAAGCTTGTAAAACGTAAGGTAGTCTTGAAAAGATTACAGGAAAAGATCAATTTGTAAGGTAGTTGTGAAAAGATCGTTTTGAAAGGTCCCCAAACAGGAAGAGATTCAGCTAGCTTCAAAGAGTGTCCGTCAGTTTGGAAGAGATTCAGTTAGCCTCAAAGAGTGGCGGTCAATCAACAAAAGATTCAGCCATTCTTGAAAATATCTATGGACAACACCACCATGGAAGCCGCTAACACTGTTCATCTATGCTACTTATATCAGATGCATCATCACTGAACGCAGAAAACGATTCATCTATGTATCATCTAAATAAATTGGAGATGGCATAGGAGGCAAGGGTGGTGCTCAGAGCTACAACTGGATACGCTCGCTGTATCATCCTCATAGGTGCTGTATTACTTGCATCTGACCTTTGTGTTAGGTCCTTATTGCACCTAGCTTCAACAATATTATGGCCCTTATGTTCTTCAAACAATAAGGTTTGAATTTCACAGACAGAGCGCGATCTTTCAACACTGCGTCGGACAAGTGTTTGGGAGCCAGAGGCGCGTGCGCCATCCATGGTTGCTCACTCAGTACTAACCCAGCCAGCAGCTCTAAGGCATTCTGGGAATTTTTTCTACGATGGCTGCCTCTCACTGGAGGTCCTAAGAGTTCATTTCGTAAACATCTAACCTCGCACACATTTACAATGGGTACGAAAAAATAAAGTACTGTAAGTTAGGGGCCTCGTAGCCTAGTGGATAGCGCGCAGGACTCGTAATTCTGAGGCGCGGGTTCGATTCCCGCACGAGGCAGAAACAAATGGGCAAAGTTTCTTTCACCCTGAATGCCCCTGTTACCTAGCAGTGAATAGGTACCTGGGTGTTAGTCAGCTGTCACGGGCTGCTTCCTGGGGGTGGAGGCCTGGTCGAGGACCGGGCCGCGGGGACACTAAAGCCCCGAAATCATCTCAAGATAACCTCAAGAAGTGTTTTCTCGGTTGGCGAAGTTTCCCACCGACCGAGAATACTCAGTTGGTGCTGTTAATTAAGTGGTTAAGCCACAGGTGTATGGGAATACCCAGGTTTAGTGGTAAAATGGCTTCAATGGTTATCTATAATAATCAGAATAATAATGATAATAATAATAATAAATAATAATATATAATAATACTATGTAATAGTACCACTTATTATTATTACTATTATAAGAAAACAATAATAGTTAAAGTAGATGATGGCAACTGGATTATTTTGTCTATTTAGTTATATACAATAATACAAGTACTGTACACATATGCAAGTAAAACAATAATACCAACTCACCATTTTATCTACAAATGGATAGACCTTTTCCCACATATCTATAAACTTTTCAATAATACCCTCATCCGGCATACTTGAGTCTTCTGAGGCACTATCATGACCATTTAACTGCTGTTTCTTAGCTGGAGGTATAAGGTCTTCATCCTCATCACTTGATGCCAAAAATCGCACGCGCTTGGCAACCTGAAATAAAAAAAACATCGTTGAATGAAACATCATTTTCTGGATGAGCCCTGGAGGCTCCCTGGAGCTTATCAGGCTAATGTACGTTATATTAGACCGGGACATTAGCTAAGGAGTTTAAACCTACCAGGGACCATGAGCCAGAACCTGGCCCCTTCAGAGAAGTTTCAGGAAGCAATGGCCCTGGAAAACCCCCCTGTGATTGGGGTTTTTCCTTATCTGCCATCGACCGGGATTAGACACCCAGAAAGGTAGGCATGACAAAACAAACCCCACATGGTAAAAAACTAACAACAAAAACCAAACAGAGGTAGAACTCCCTACAATCCCAAGGAAACAAGCAAACGTAACACACTATTGCCGGGCCGCTCGTCTGTGCAGCCCTCCCCTCCCCTCTCTAGGGGAGGGAGAGCCCCGGACCTCACTGCGCCGGCTGCAAAGCACTCCAGTTCGGAAGCAAAGCTTCAACGTGAAAAAAACAAAAATAACGCCGACCGGTGGGAGGGAGGATTGCCAGGGAGCCTCCGGGGCTCACCCAGAAAATGGTGTTTCATTACATTCAACACTGGTTTTCTGAGGGGAGCTCCTATGGCTCCCTGGAGCTTCATACCCAAAGAGAAAAGAAAGGGCTGACCCGGGAGGCGGCCGCCACAGACTCAGGTTAAGTTAAGACAACAGGCTGCAACCTGCGACTTAAAGCAACACAAGAACGCCCAAGAGCAGACATGCTCACCAAATAACGGGTAGCCAGGAACCTGTACGACCTCCAAATCCCTGTGCCCGAAATGAGCCCAAGACATGTTACCAAACACGGCAGTGAAAGCTGGAAATGTCCCAATGGCACAGGCGCAGGCTGGCTGGACTTAATAACTCTGCGGTCGACCTGGGAGACCTGAGACCTGGAACAGGGAACGAGGGAAACCAGATTATCCCAAAGCACATCTCCAGCCATGGCACGTAGGTAACGGCGAAGCGCCACAACCAGCCACAACACATGACGCACCCCCCGGCTGAACCAACCAAGCATCAAAACCCCAAAAACCCCTCCGGAAAGAAGCCGTCTCGGCCTTCACCAGAAAAGATGGAGAAGGCTGCAAACGTACAACAAACCTACCACCAGAACCAAAAGAGCAAAAACCCTTGCGCCGGAGGAGAGCCGGAAGCTCTCCAACCCCACCCCCAGAGGCCAATGCCAACAAAATTGGACCTTTGATAAATAAACGTTGAAGCAAAAGGGCTACCACAAACCGAAGAGAGGAAAGATAAGAGAGCATCCTGACTAAGGACCAGGATGGCTCAGGCGGCGCATGAACAGGCCGGAGGTGAAACAAAACACGAGAAAGCGTATGGAATGGGGCGGATGCGACGTCCACCTCGAACGCCAGCTGGAGTGGCTCCCTCAACGCCGCACGATATGAGGCGACAGTAAGAAGCACCAAATAACGGTCCAGAAAGCCAAGAAAGGACAAGACAACCCGATGCGAAAGAGAAGAAAGCCTACAAAGAGCAAAAAAATTGCGAATAGAATTGCCAGGAAACTTCATACTGTCGCCGCGATGAAGCTCGCAGGTGGGACACAATCAACGAAGCAACCTGATCACCATAGAGATGGTGACACACACGAGTCAAAAGACCAGATGCGAAGAGCCAAGGAGAAGGCCGAACCAGCCACGTACCAAGCATGTGAAAGACTGGGAAGCATGTGAAAGACTGGGAAGCATGTGAAAGACTGGGAAGCATGTGAAGCTAAAACAGAAGATTTCTGGACTTGTAAATTTGTAGACCTCATCCTGGAAACATTCTTGTATCAACATGTTAAACAAGCTACGAGGATGAGGGAAGGGGACGTCCCCTCCATGCTAGATTTGATATTTACCAGGAAGGAGGAAGAAATATTTGACATTCAGTACCTTCCTCCCTTGGGTAAAAGTGACCATGTCTTTTTGGGAATAAAGTATCCAATGCGTTATAATCTGGAAGAAAATATGACGGTCGATGCAAATGAAAAACCTGACTTTAGGAGAGGACATTATGGCAACCTTAGAAAAATTTTTAGTGAGTATAATTGGACAGACTTGTTGCTAGGCAAGGAAGTGAATGAGATGTATGTCAGGTTTTGTGAAATATATGATAAAGGCACAAAAAAATTTATTCCAAAACAGAGAAGCAGAACTAGGAAACAGGATTGGTTCAACAGAAAGTGCGAGAGGGCCAGAGACCAAAAGACACAAAAATGGAATCAATACAGGAAGAGGCCGAACCCCCAAACATACCAGCGATACAAAGATGCGAGAAACAACTACACAGCAGTGAGGAGAGAGGCAGAAAGAAATTTTGAAAAAGGGATTGCAGACAAATGTAAAACAGAACCAGGTCTGTTCTATAAATTCATAAACAACAAATTGCAGGTAAAGGATAATATTCAGAGGTTGAAAATGGGAAATAGATTCACGGAAAATGAAAAGGAAATGTGTGAAACATTAAACGAAAAGTTCCAAAGTGTGTTTGTACAAAATGAAATCTTCAGGGAACCAGATACAATAAGAATTCCAGAGAACAACATAGAGCACATAGAGGTGTATAGAGACGAAGTGGAAAAAATGCTCAAGGAGCTAAATAAGAACAAAGCAGTTGGTCCAGATGGAGTTTCACCATGGGTTCTGAGAGAATGTGCACCTGAGCTCAGCATTCCTCTTCAACTGATTTTTCAGGCATCCCTGTATACAGGAGTTGTAGCTGATGTGTGGAAAAAGGCTAACATAGTTCCAATTTACAAAAATGGAAGCAGGGAAGACCCCCTTAATTATAGACCGGTATCATTGACAAGTGTAATAGTCAAAATATTGGAAAAAATAATTAAAACTAAATGGGTAGAACACCTGGAGAGAAATGATATAATATCAGACAGACAGTATGGTTTTCGATCTGGAAGATCCTGTGTATCGAATTTACTCAGTTTCTATGATCGAGCAACAGAGATATTACAGGAAAGAGATGGTTGGGTTGACTGCATCTATCTGGACCTAAAAAAGGCTTTCGACAGAGTTCCACATAAGAGGTTGTTCTGGAAACTGGAAAATATTGGAGGAGTGACAGGTCCGCTTCTAACATGGATGAAAAATTTTCTGACTGATAGAAAAATGAGGGCTGTGATCAGAGGCAATGTATCGGACTGGAGAAATGTCACAAGTGGAGTACCACAGGGTTCAGTTCTTGCACCAGTGATGTTTATTGTCTACATAAATGATCTACAGAGCACCACTTGGTTTCCGAACTTTAGTTATCCGAAACTTCCAGTTTCCCGATTGGGGTTGGGGAGTCATGCTACCCGAACTGTCCACCAAGCGTCACGCCGGCTTGTTGTGGTGGGTGGGAGATGGTCCAGTTTGCCCACTGTGACTTCACAGATTCACGGCCTATTATTCCTATTATTTTGAATTGCCATAAGGCTGGAATATTCATTCCGTGCTTTTGTTTTACATATCTGCACAATCAAGAAACATCTGTGCACCATGTCGGCTCCAAATGCACGCATTGCGTCAGTGATGGCTGACCAGTGGGTGGATGGATGAGGGAGCTTAGGTGGGAGGCAGTATGAGAGAGGGGGGGAGAATTAGTCAGAAAGGGAGGGAGGGAGAGAGAGATGCTAGGAGGGAGTGGGAGGGAGAGAGAGATGCTAGGAGGGAGGGAGAGATGCTAAGAGGGAGGGGGAGGTAGGGAGAGATGCTAGGAGGTAGGCAGGAAGGGACGGAAGTAGTGAGAATTAGGGAGGGAAAGGCAGGGAGGGAAAGGCAGGCAGGCAGGCAGGCAGGCACAGGCAGGCACAGGCAGGCAGGCAGGCTAGCTTGCAGGCAGGCTGGCAGGCAGGGAGTGAGTGGTAGTCACGCGGTTGAACCGCGTGACCTTTAAAAGAGAGTATGGGATGTAGGGGGGCGGGTGGTGGGGGGCGAGACCGGCTCATTCCCGAAGATAAGCCTAACACACACTACCCGTTAGCATGATGGCAGGCAGGCAGGCTTGCAGGCTGGGAAGGAGGCAGGCAGGCAGGCAGGCTTGCAGGCTGGGAAGGAGGCAGGCAGGCAGGCAGGCTTGCAGGCTGGGAAGGAGGCAGGCAGGCAGGCAGGCTTGCAGGCTGGGAAGGAGGCAGGCAGGCAGGCAGGCAGGCTTGCAGGCTGGGAAGGAGGCAGGCAGGCAGGCAGGCTTGCAGGCTGGGAAGGAGGCAGGCAGGCAGGCAGGCTTGCAGGCTGGGAAGGAGGCAGGCAGGCAGGCAGGCTTGCAGGCTGGGAAGGAGGCAGGCAGGCTTGCAGGCTGGGAAGGATGCAGGCAGGCAGGCAGGCTTGCAGGCAGGCAGGCTTGCAGGCTGGGAAGGAGGCAGGCAGGCAGGCAGGCTTGCAGGCTGGGAAGGAGGCAGGCAGGCTTGCAGGCTGGGAAGGAGGCAGGCAGGCAGGCAGGCTTGCAGGCTGGGAAGGAGGCAGGCAGGCAGGAAGCGATATATGGGTGTTGAAGTGAACCATGAACCACGTGACCTTTGAGAGTGTGTGTGTATGGGTTTGGGGTGGGGGGAGAGGGGGAGGTGTCGGTTGTGGGGGAGGGACCGGCTGACTCCGTAAGCCTAACCACACTCCACAGACCTGTGACCCAGATTTGTTTCTTAAATGTACAGTACATCATCGTATATTTTAGGCAGGATGTGCCTGCAGGCTGGCAGGATGTGCCTGCAGGCTGGCAGGATGTGCCTGCAGGCTGGCAGGATGTGCCTGCAGGCTGGCAGGCAGGCTGGCAGGATGTGCCTGCAGGCTGGCAGGATGTGCCTGCAGGCTGGCAGGCAAGCTGGCAGGCAGGCTGGCAGGATGTTCCTGCAGGCTAGCAGGCAGGATGTTCCTGCAGGCTGGCAGGATGTGCCTGCAGGCTGGCAGGCAAGCTGGCAGGCAGGCTGGCAGGATGTTCCTGCAGGCTGGCAGGATGTTCCTGCAGGCTGGCAGGATGTTCCTACAGGCTGG